AAAAGTCTCTAACATGTGGTACCCCCATACTTGGGAGAAGTTGCAGAATGTATTTTGGGGAGTAATTCCACATATGCTCATGGCATGTGTGAGCAATAAATCATTTTAAGAGTTTTTTTTTTTTTTTTTTTTTGTTTTTTTTTTTTTCCTGGGGAGCATAGACATCTGCAAATTTTTGGTTAAGGTGATTCACGAGGGACCGAATTTTTGTGGAGCAGGTCAAATTCAGCCTCACCCCGAAACTTGACAGTGTATTGTCCTTGAAATGTATAAAACACATGGGAATGCAGGCCGACCCTTTTCTCCCTCTCCCAAATACCCAATCTATAACTATATATCTAAATAGACAAACACAATCTTTAATGGCAAAATTTTGGCCGCGGCACTTTATTGGTATAAATAACAAATACTATAAATAATCAATCAAGTTTATACTTCTCTTATCAAATAAAAATCCAAATAGCTCAGTCGTTAAGGACTCTAGCTCAAACTGAATAAATATAACCGTCCCGCACCAGCCGGGCTTGAAATTTGAAGACTGGCCTACCCTACACACGGTGCCGTCTCAATGCTGTTTTGCAATCCCAAATTAAAAATGTCTAAACCTTCTTCACTTAAATGCGCCTCATCTGATCTGTATATTCCCCTAAAGCCTCCTTCTAAATCAAAGTGTCTATAGGAGAAGCCACCAAAAAAAAATAAAAATGAACTTTTCCATAGACTTGTTCAAACGACGTCTAATTTTTTTCCAAATTTTTAAATTTTTGATAAATTAGCCACTTAAGGTTCTATCTCAGAGAAAATAATTGTGGTATACGGAGATGATCATTTGAAGCGATTTAAGTCACGCTTCATCATAAACATTAGATCCAGAGTATTTATATTACCAACATCTCCCCGAGATGAACGATAACAATATCTTGAGCAGGCCACACTTCAAATAACCTGGAAAGATGAAAGAAAATATTAGACCAATGAAGACCTCATATTCTTTTCCATAATACTTTGAATTTTTTCAGATCCAAGGACAAATAAGCAGTGTAACATCGTTGTACAGCTTTTATAAGCCCAATAAACAAGTGTGTCCCAGGATCCATATATAGCTTATATCACCTAAAATTAAATAAAGATTAGGTCTAACATAAATCTTACAACATTGAGACCCCCATCTGCCCAGTCGTTTTATAATAGTTTTGTCCAAACCCAATCTTGCGGCTTCAGTTGATGCTCCTATTCTAAATGAATGTGACGTGAATCTAAATTGTTGAAGCCCTAATTTATGCAGGCTTTAAAAACAAAATCAAATTGATATCTCGCAAGATGGGAACAATCCTCATGAATGAGAGAGACCATTACAGGTCTGTCTAATAGATAGATATTTTTATCATAACTAAGGGGCAAATTTCAGCATCCCCACATGAGTAAAGTGATATCCATGTACTTTTTTTTTTCGTCTTTCAGGACAGCACCTTGAGAGACCTCTGCTCCTCCCCACCTGAGGAAATGCCTCCACCCAAAATAAAAAGCTCTCCACTCCCCTCCGACCTCAGTTCAGGTGTTTCCTCCAGTGGGGAGACACGTGAGGAAGCTCAAGGTGCTGTCAGGCACAGGTTAGGTCTGAGCTGAGGGTTGGAGAGCCGGCTGGGAGACTCAGGGCAGCAGGGAGTGAAGGCCGGAGTGTCCGGCTGCGATCCTCCCCGTGCCTGCTGCCGTGCAGTGAGCGTGCACCCTGGGGGACGGGGGTAGCGCATACCTGCTCTTCGCCCCCCCCGACCCCCTCCGGTGAGTTGGGGCGGCCGCAGTGGGATCTGGTAAGGATCTGGGAGGAGTCCTGCTCCTTCCCATGCTGGCGGTCAAGGGAGCTTGCCGGGCTGGGTGTCGGGGGACGGCAGTTCAGGCAGAAGGGACGGGGCTTCTCCCAGGGTCACGGCTTCCGCCGCGGCTCTAGACCCCTCGGCGCGCGAATTTCAAATGGCGGTGCGGAGCAGAACAGCCTGGGGGACAGGCTACCGCATCAGGTGACCACCCTCCTGGGAAGGAAGCACCGGGACCAGGGGATGCCAGCACCAGCCAGTCTCAGGTAAGGTGACTCAGAGGAGTCCTCCCCTACCTGGTGGCCCCTAGCTCCTGGGGTATTCCCGGACCCTCTGGTGGTGAGAGGATCTTCTTGGGCAGGGGGAGGGTCCTGTCTGAGGGTGTCAGGCCCTTAGGCCCTGCTGGGAAAGTAGGGGGGGGGCAGGGGAGTGATTGGCAGTGGGTAATAGGCTCCCTTTCTGCTCCCTTTTGTCTTTCAGGGCAAGGCCTGGGAGAAGCTTGGGCATCAGGAGCAAGCACAGATGCCCATCCTGCAAGTCAGTTTTAAAGGAATCTTGGAGGAAGGTTCTTTGCGGCCCTTGCATTGAAGGGTTAGTAAAGGAGGAGAGGCCAGAACAGGGTGACTTGGTCAGGTCAGTAAAGGAGCTGACCAGTACCTTCGACTCTTTCAAGTGTCTCATGGAAAGGTTGGCCGTTCCCCAGACAGCCCCTTAACCCCCCCCCCACCCCCCCGGGTGGCCTCAGGAAGTCAGAGCAGGGAGCTCCTCGTAACAGGGGAGGATGAGAAACCCTGTGTGGATTCCCAATCAGAAGAGGAGTCAGCTGGGGAAGGTCCCTCAGATGAGTTCAGGGGCCCATCTCGGTACAAGTTATCCCTAGAGGAGGTGGATGACCTTTTTAGGGGCCATATACGATACCTTGTCCTTGCATGATCAGATGTACCAGGGGTTAGAGGAACAAAAAGCACAGAGTTTTCCTGGTGCACCCCAAGCTCGATGCAGCCTTTTCACAAACCGCGAGGAAAACGGACCTGGCGTTCGAGGATATGGGGGTCTTGCCGGATTTGTTAGACAGGAGAGCGGAATCCCTCCTTAAAAAGGCGTGGGATTCAACCGTGTCAAATCTGAAACCTGCCATGGCCACAACTGTCGTGGCCAGAAATCTAGAGTACTGGCTAACACAGTTGCAGGCCCATATTGTGGCAGACTCCCCCAAAGAAAAAATTCTGGCTTCATTTGAGACCTTATTACAAGGTGTGGGGTATATTGCGGATGCTTCCGCAGAGTCGGTGAGGCTGGGGGCCAGGTCAGCGGCCCTAACAAACTCAGTTCCTGTTCGGGCCGGGGTTGGAGGAAGTCCTAGATCGTACGGCAGACAGGAAAAAGTCCTTCCCCCTAAAAAGGAAGCTACAGGAGGTGGGGACTCGGAGATCGCGCCCGGCAAAGAGACAGAACCTCAGGTCAGAGGGACAGAGGAGGTCTTGGGGGCAGAGAGAGGCGGGGGGGGGATTTTTCGTCCTCCTAAACAGCCCCAGAAGCCATGATGACTCTGTTCCCCTTGTGGGAGGAAGATTGGCGGCATTTCTCCCATAGTGGGAAGCGGCGGTTTCCAGACCCTTTATTTTAGAAATTGTGAGAAGGGGTTATCAGCTGGAGTCTTCGGAACCGCCACCAGAAAGATTTTTGGTGACAGCCCTGCCCAGGGGCCCGGCAAGGGCCTCAGCCCTAATGAACTCGCTGAGGGACTTGGAGGATCAGAGGGTCTTAGCCAAGGTCCCAGAAGCGGAAAAGGGGAAGGGTTTCTATTCCCATGTATTCGTGGTTCAGAAGCCGACTGGAGCCTTCAGGCTGATTCTGAACCTCAAACCCCTAAACAAATAAGTGCGATACAAAAAATTCTGCATGGACTCTATTTTTACAATCGGAACCCTACTCCCGGCTGGAGCATTTATGGCCTCTATAGATTTAAGGGACGCGTACCTTTGTGTACCCATCCCAGAACCCTCACAGCGCTTTCTCAGGTTGGCAGTACAAGGGGGAGCAGGAGTACGCCATTGGCAGTTCAGGGCCCTGCCATTCGGTCTATCCCCCTCCCCAAGGGTTTTCACCAAGATACTGACAGAAGCATTGGTTCTCATCCGTCTAAGAGGGATTTCTGTTATAGCCTACTTGGACGATCTGCTGCTATTCGCAGACTCAGAGATCCGGCTACAGCAGAACATTGCAGTAGTAAGGGACCATCTGGAGAATGTGGGGTGGCTCTTGAATCTGGAAAAGTCCTGTCTCGTGCTCGCCCAAAGAGCGATTTATCTGGGATACGTTCTAGATTCCGTGAGGCAGAGGACCACCTTAACCTCGGAAAAACTTGCCAAGTTGGACAGAGGGATCAGGTTGTTACAGGGGAGCAGGTCAGTAACAATGAGGCTGGCCATGTCGGTGCTGGGGTTGTTAACATCTTCCATCCCAGCGGTGCAGTGGGCAGGCTTGCATCTGCCTCCCCTCCAACTGTGGGTTTTGAGAGTCTGGGTCTTTAGAGGACCGGGTCCTTATTTCCCCCCCCCCCCCCCCCCCCCCAGTGTAAAAAGGTCCCTGTGGTGGTGAAGGTCGGCCAACGTGACCCAGGGGCTGTTGTGTCTTTTTGGTAACCAGGGAGGTTTCGACGGACGCCAGCGCTCTTGGGTGGGGAGCCCACCTAGAAGACTGTGGTTCAGGGGGAGTGGTCCCTAAGAGGAGAGAATCCTCGAATTGGAAGGAATTGAGGGCAGTATGGGAGGCTCTCCACTCCTTCCAAGACGGGATCAGGGGCCAGCACGTGCGGGTCATGACGGACAATGCTACGACAGTAGCTTATATAAACAAACAGGGAGGGACAAGGAGGAAGGCTCTCGGGTCCCTAGAAGTAGTGGTTTTATCCTGGGCGGAGAGAAACCTGGCTTCCCTGTCCGCAGTGCACCTGAAAGGGGAACTGAATCAGACGGCCGATTTCCTGAGCCGATTTATATTTACATATGGTCACCCTAGCAGTACAGTGTCACCATGGTGACACTGTACTACTTGTGGGGGATGACTAAGATTTTTTTTTTTTTTTTTTTTTTTTTTTTTACACTTATTGCTTTTACACCCATATAGGATGTAAAAGCAATCATTTCTCCTTCTCTCTGTCTGCATTCTTGCACTCATTGAGAAGTACTGAGTGAGCTGTGATTGGTCACAGCTTGTCACATGGTACAAGGCTGTTGTGAATAGCCTTGTACTATGTGACCTCTGTGATCATTCACATATTTCACATGTAGTAAGCAATGATGTCACAAGTGACATCTTGCTTACTACTTTGCATGTGATCACTGGCCAATCAGTGATCACATGATCGGGACCTCGTACAGAGGTCCCGTCTGATGATCGGTGTTTCACTGTGTCCCAGGGAGCGCGCACAAGCAGGGTGCGGGGAGGCAGTTTATAAACGGCCACCCGACCCTGCACTGCCATTGTCCGGCCGCTTATATGCAACGGCCGGTCGGGAAGTGGTTAAGGAACCTAGAAAGCTCAAAATTGCTGCCTCAGAAGGAGAGTCAAATTGAAATCCAAAATCTTTGGAGAATGTAATCCATTTATCCCATGCGGCTGAATAATCAACCCATGTACTCTGTGCTACTGAATTTTATGGATTCTGTCCAGACTTCTAAATTAGGTCCCATAGATGTTCTGGACACGCAAAACCTTCCTTGTCCGCACTGGGCAGCAATTGCCGAAATTTTGATATCTGAAATCGAGATAAAGCATCCGCAGTTTGATTCTCCTTCCCTGGTATATGTCTAGCTTTTAGCCAAATATTCCAACGTAAACCTAAAAATACAAAGTGCCTCAGCAATTTTATAACAAAAATTGATTTGGATGATCAGCAATTAACTGAATAAATTACTCCCTTTGTTATCTGTGTATTACAATCCTCTTACTAGCAAAGTGCTCTCCCCAAATTTCTAATGCCACTACTTAAGGGAATCATTCTAATACTATGGGTTATTTTTTGTATTCACCTTCATGTAAATCCATTTAGCAAGTCATTCTCCACAGCATCATTGCATTTTCCAAACGGCAGCAAATTCACATGACTGTGCCGCATCTGAACAATTCCAAATCTAATGAAATTATAAATTCATCCTGGAAAAAATGACTTACCGTTGTAAATGTTGAAAATTTTTAGCCATACTAGCAGGTCCTCTTTTAAGTCAGCACTTAAATCACCATTTTCTCATGTCAGATTAAGACCTGACATAGCTAATGAAAGGCGTCGAGAAAATATCCTGCTGACTGGCATAATTCTTTTTGCAAATGCTAATAGTCCCATTTAAAGACTGAAGCTCTTTAACACTTTTTTTTTTTTTTCTGTCTCAAAAACAAGGAAATAGCATTTATTTTATCTATTTTGGACAAAGGCAATTGAAATTTTGAAAAATTCTGTATCTAACTATTCCCAAAAATTTCATTATTGTAGATGAAAAAATTGTTTTTTTCTGTGGCCAAAGGTACACCTAAGTGCTGCGTAACAATACTAAATAATTGTAGCATGAAAGCACAAAAATGATTCTGCTGGACCTATAAAAAGGAAAGTAATGCAATATGCCTTCAAATCCTGCTTCAAAAGAAACAATCCATTTTAAGAGAAGTAGCGCATTTTTCAAAATAACCACACAAAAAATGGAGCATCTCTTAGGAAGACACTTGTCATAATATTCTCCTTCAAAATGTATTCCCAAAGATTTAAAAAGGGGCTATTGTCAACAGGTGGAAAGCCACCTTAATATCAGCTTTTGCAAATAATACTGCTTTTCCAAATTTTCTTATCTTTTATATATTGCTTCCTCGAATGTGCAATAAGAAACATGACAACTGTGGATCAATTTCATCATTTAGAGATGATCCCTTTGGAAAGGATAAATGATGCATCAGACGGAATGAATTTGGCTCTTTTTTTTTTTTTGTTATAATACCAAGTGGTGATATTCTAAAATTTTTAAATAGTCCTGCCATAAGGCCTTCTAGAAGTTCTCTTTAATTTTTCCCTAACTATATGTGGAAATTATGAAACTGACTTTAAATTGTTAAATGAAATACAACCTGATCTAGAAAATAAAGGTAACTGGAAACTGTTAGTCAAGTTTTTTTTGATTGAAGGCTTTACAATCTCCTTGTTTGGATATATTTCCAGCCAATGAAGCATGTTTGTTAATTTCACAGGTGTGTAAGCTTTTTGGAAAGTTCTTTGTACTTACTTCAAAACCAGTGTCCAGTGTCCTCCTGAACAAAAGGAGCATTCATGTTTGTATTTACAAGAATTTCCCCACTTACACTGGGTTTCATTTAAAAGACTAGCAGTACCTCTTTTATAAGGAGAGATGGCAGGTGTAGATTTTTACATATGCAGGTTTTGTGGAAGAATTAGATTAAGTCGCAATCCTACATCTTTCATTCCCCATTTTTATAGAAGGGTAAATAGATAATGTTTGTCTAAAAGACTCGTCATAGTGATACCAACCTAATCCACTGAAGCTTTTATATATTTCCAACACATGTTCCAAATGTTGGAATAAACTGCTGCAATATTCTGACCCCGCGGACCCCCAGCCACCGCCCCCCCCCCCCCCCCCCCCGTCCTGACAACACACCTGCAAGTCCTCAACCTTCCACTTGCTCCTGCCACTCCTTATCCTCCGAAGCCATCTTTAGGTATTTTGTGAGCCTTTCTTCTCCTCCGCTGGTGCCCGCTTGCTCCAATACTCTCATCAGTTTCTTCATGGCCAAGTGCAGGTTCCCTGGAGCTCGTTACACGGACCAGCTGGCAATCTCCCGTCGATGGAGCTCCTATATATGAGCCCCACTTTCTAGAACTTTTCACTAGTCATGTGACCTTCTGGAATTTTCTCCCAGATCATGTGCTACTTGTTTTCCCACCCAAACGCTCTTAAATTTAAAGCACAGTAATTAGACTATATATATACTTTATTTTTATTTTTTTTTTTTAAATTAAGAGGGCCGCCTACCCATTTTATTGGGCCCAAATGATAGAGCCCTCTTAATGCATTATACTATCATATCTATGCCTGGTCATGGCAGCAGAGAACACGGGCATATGATGAATCGGGTCTGTGGACCAATACTTCCTCTTCTTCCTCCTTCTCCTCTTCTCTCCTCCTCTTCCTCTTCCTCTTCCTGTTCCTGTTCTTGTTCTTCTTCTTCTTGTTCTTCTTGCCCCCAAAAAAAAAATGTAAATTTGGAAACCGTAATGTGTTTCCATGCAAATGGCCTGGCAAGGTTGGAATTTGGGTTGGCGGCGATAAATTGTTGTGCATATAAATTGCTTTGATCCACAATCAACGCATACAGATCTTCTGTGAAAAAACCGCGCCAAAAAATGAAGTGGAGTAGTTACATTTGCTGTTTCCACCTGGCATTTAGGGCCAGGAGGTGGTGGTGGGAAGATGTTAAGAAAAGACCAATACAGAGACTTTTGTAGAATACCGCAATGAGGATTAAAACGTATTATCTATACAGGGTGTGAAAACTGGGCCGGATCTAGCGGGGGTGCTGTGGTGGGCTGATTGGGATAATTGAATGTAAGAATGGCGACAACCAGGGCGGACTGACAACTCATGGGGCCCCCGGGCAATAGGGCATCATGGGGCCCCTGTGTCCTTGCCCCCACACTCAAACCACACCCAAAAAAGCCTATGAAAGGTACCAGGGGCATCTCATTGGGCCCCTTCTGACCCCGGGCCCTCGGGCAGTGCCCGAGTTCCCGAACGGTCAGTCCGCCCCTGGCGACAACCGATGTAAAGGGGCACGCTGATGGGAACACTGATGAAAGGGGGCACATCTTCTGTTCACCCTAATCTAATGACAGCCTAATACATACAAGGTTGTGACTTGCAGTGTTGACCTTCTGCCCCCTGATTCTTCCTTTTTTTTTTTTTTTTTTTTTTTTTTTTTTTTTTTTTTTTTGTTTTTTGTTCCTGCACCCCCAGATCTGATAGTCTAGATGCGGTCCTGCATTTAAAAGCATATGTTGGCATACTGATTGAAGAGATGTTTCGCAGGTTGACAAAGAACATTTGAATATTTGTACTGTGTGCTTTTCTTCTTCACAGCCTGGGAAACTTAGATCCTATCTATAGACATTTGTGTATGATCAATGATATAAAGGGAAATCTTAATATGGATACATTAAGTCACTGGTCACATTTAAAATCGTGCAATTTTTCTCAACATGTTTATTGCTACTTGTGCATTGCTACTTGTTGTTGTTCAACAATTTGTTGCAATTTGCAGTGTGATTTAAATTCTATGTATGTGAAATTGCAACAAAACTGCAGAAAAAGTAATGCAAGCACTAAATTAGAAATTGCACTACAGCAAATCGCAGAGGTTAAGACCCTGACATTCACATTCATTAGGTGCGATTTTTTTCAATTTGCAAATCGCACCTGGAATTGCTTGGGTATGACTGATGCCGAGGTGTAGTCTGCATCTCGGCCACTAGATGTCACTTATGCACTGCTTGAAAGTATGAATAGAATGTCCGGGGCCTGCAGAACATTTACTATTTTACAGCGGGTTTTTATATTTTTTTTCCATTTTGTTTTTATTTTGGATCCTCGTGTTATTGATATTGAAAGTGTTTGTTTGTATCCCTCAGCACATGAAAATTTTTGTTGTTTTGGGGAGAGATTAGAACCCGTCAGATTTTGTATTGCTGTCTGTGCCCCTGGGAGGGAGATTCACCCTCTCTATTTGGCCTGTTTACCATTTATCATTGAAAGTGAAAATTAAAAGAAAATCCCAAATTTTGGGTTGTGCAATAGAGGAAATCTTCCAATGGGGACACCAATCCCAGTGACCAGGGGCCCAGAGGAATTCCCTTCATTTGCAAGGATTTCCTCTCACTTCCTGTTTGGCTATGGGACTGGAAGTGAAGGGAAATTTCTGTGATGGGACACAAATGGTGGAAAATAAATCTGATAGGGGTTATAACCCTCCCTAAAATGAGTTAAAAAATTGTTGCCCATTACTTTGACAACATCACAAACTTATGGATAAGTTACACTTTAACCACTTGCCCTCCCGAGGAATTACACCCTTTCCTGACCAGGCCATTTTTTTACGTTACGGCGCTGCGTTACTTTAACCACTAGCCTACAGGGCACTTATACCCCCTTCCTGCCCAGGCCAATTTCCAGCTGCAGTGATGGGCACTGATAAGTGGCACTGATGGGCATTGACAGGCATCACTGATGGGCACTGAAAGGCAGCACTCATATATGGCGCTGATAGGCAGCACTGACTGGTGACACTGAAAGGTAGCTCAGATGGGCACTGATATATGGCATTGATGGACACTGGTAAGCACTGAAATGTGGAATTGATGTGGCACTGATGGGCACTGGCAGGTGGCATGGATGAGCACTGACAGCTGGCACTGATGGACACTGACAGGTGGCACTGCTGGGACTACACTGATCATCAGTGCCCATGTCCCCCTCTGA